CAGTATGATGCCATGTTCAAAAAAGATTGTGTGTGTGTGTGTGTACATATATTTACACACACATAAATATATGAAATATACAGAAAATTTTATGGAATAAAATTTGGGATGATTTTGTGAAATGCTTTGATAATTTGCATTTTTAATTCTTCTACTACAAATATCTATTAGTTGTTCATTTTTTAATAAATAAAGAGAAAGAGGAGCCTTAAAATAATCCAAACTTTGAGTGTGTTTCCAAGCACAGCCTTGGTGGCTCCCTGGCCATCCCCTTCCGTGGAAGAGGGAGAAGAATTTCTGTGATTAAGGACAAATGAGACATTCAGTAGGACATACTCAATACTAAAGCCCTAGAGCACCCTCAAAAAGGGAACATTGTTGATTTCCCAGACACACCAGCCTGGCTTCTAGCCCTTTCCACAATTTTCATGTCTTTTGTAGTGCAATAAAGCTCTCCTGGTAAAGTCTAATCTTCCTTTTACAGCTGCCCCAGAAATCAATATTGGGGTGAAATTTGCTTGAGAAATCAGTATCTGCCAAAATTTTAGGAGGGCTTATCCAAAAGAAGACAAGAGCAGGCCACTTACAATATATCGATGTCCTTTATTCAATCAAGTCACCCAACCTGTCAAGATCACAGTTTCTCCTGAACAATCCCCTCTTGCTTCATCTTCGTCTTCTGTGTGTTTTCTTTCCAGCGTCTTGGCTCTGCAAATTTTACTTTGTGTACAAGTCACTTTTGACTGGGCTTTTTTTCTGGAGTTTGCTGAACTTTGGGGGATACTGGACTTTCTATCCATTGGTCTGTGGACTTCGGGGAGATGGGAGATGAATAATTTCCTGAAGTCCTTTCTTGTCTGCTGTCTGTCAGTGTCCACCTCCTGCCTCCCTGCAGCCCCTTCTTTGGGAGTGATAATGTTAGGTGTACTTTGCTCATTCAAGCAAAGAGTAGATACAGTTAGTTTCCTTTGGGAGAAGTGTCTAGAATTTATTTTGTAGGAAAGAGGGGGCTTAAGAAAGTATGATGAATAAATTGGGCATGTGTTTCTCCCAACTTTTGACCTTGCGAAGAAAAGTCGTTGCTAAGGACTGGCTTGCTGGTATGTGAAGGGTGTGGGGGAGATGATGGTGCAGGCACACCTCGGAGATATTGTGGGTTCAGTTCCAGACCACAGCAATAAACTGAATATCACTATAAGGCGAGTCACACAAAGTTTTTGGTTTCCCAGTGCATATAAAAGTTATGTTTACCCTACAATGTAGTCTATTGAGTATGCAATAGCATTACGTCTAAAAAAATGTACATAGCTTAATTAAAAAAATACTTTATTGCTAAAAAATGCTGACCATCATCTGAGCCTTCAGCGAGTCATAATCTTTTTGCTGGTGGAGGGTCTTGCCTCGACATTGATGGCTGCTGACTGATCCGGGTGTGGTTGCTCAAGGTTGAGGGGGCTGTGGCAGTTTCTTAAAATAAGACAACAATGAAGTTTGCCACATGGATTGACTTCTCCTTTCATGAGCGATTTCTCTGTAACATGTGATGCTGATTGATAGCATTTTACCCACAGTAGAACTTCTTTCAAAATTGGAGTCAATCCTCTCAAACCCTGCTGCCGCTTTATCAATTAAGTTTATGTAATATTCTAAATCCCTTGTTGTCATTTCAACAATCTTCACAGCATCTTCACCAGGAGTAGATTCCATCTCAAGAAACCACTTTCTTTGCTCATCTATAAGAAGCAACTCCTCGTCTGTTAAAGTCTTATCAAGAGATTGCAGCAATTCAGTCACATTTTCAGGCTCCACTTCTAATTCTAGTTCTGTTGCTATTTCCACCACATCTGCAGTTACTTCCTCCACAGAAGTCTTAAACCTCTCAAAATCATCCATAAGGGTTGGAATCAAATTTTTCCAAACTCCTGTTAATATTGATCTGATATTTTGATCTCTTCCCATGAATCACATTAAGAATGTTTTTGATGGTATCTAGAATAGTGAATCATTTCCAGAAGATTTTCAATTTACTTTGCCCAAATCCATCAGAGGAATCATTATCTATGACAGCTATAGCCTTATGAAATATATTTCTTAAATAATAAGAATTGAAAGTCAAAACTACTCCTTGATCCATGGGCTGCAGAATGGCTGTTTTGTTAGCAGGCATGAAAACAACATTAATCTCATTGTACATCTCTATCAGAGCTCGGGGGTGACCAGGTGCATTGTCAATGAGCAGTAATATTTTGAAAGGAATCTTTTTTTCTGAGCAGCAGGTCTCAACAGTGGGCTTAAAATATTAGTAAACCATGTTGTAAACAGATGTGCTGTCATCCAGGCTTTGTTATTCCATTTATAGAGCACAGGCAGAGTAAACATAGCATAATTCTTAAAGGCCCTAGGATTTTTGGAACAGTAAATGAGCATAGGCTTCAACTTAAACTTCTCATTAGCCCCTAATGAGATTCAGTCTGTCCTTTGAAGCTTTGAAGCCAGGCACTGACTTCTCCTCTTTAGCTGTGAAAGTCCTAGATGGCACCTTCTTCCAATTTAAGGCTGCTTCATCTATATTGAAAATATGTTGTTTAGTGTAGCTGCCTTCATTAGTGATCTTAGCTCAATCTTCTGGAGAACTTCCTGCAGCTTCTATATCTGCACTTGCTGCTTCATCTTGCCCTTTTATGTTATGGAGACGGCTTCTTTCCTTACACCTCATGAACCAACCTCTGCTAGCTTCAAACTTTTCTTCTGCAGCTTCCTCACTTCTCTCAGCCTTCATAGAATTTAAAAGAGTTCGGGCCTTGCTCTGCATTAGGCTTTGGCTTAAGGGAATGTTGATCTTCTATCCAGACCACTAAAACTGTCTCCACATCAGCAATAAGCCTGTTCCACTTTCTTGTCATTCTTGTGCTCACTGGAGTAGCATTTTAATTTCCTTCAGGAACTTTTCTTTTGCATTCACAACTTGGCTAACTGGTGCAAGAGGCCTAGCTTTCCACCTGTCTTGGCTTTTGTCGGGGGAAGAGGGAGAATCTCCCTCTGCCCTTTTCCTTAAGGTTCTTATGGCTGGCCAAATAATCAACAAGACAGGTTAGCAGGAGAAAATAATACCAAGTTTAATAACATGTATACATGGGAGAAACTCAGAAATGAGCAACTCGTCCCTCTGTCTAAGCTGCTTGCTTAAGTATTGCAGCTAAAGGCGAGGAGCGTGTTGGGGGTGGGTAGTGGCCTGGGACTTCAGAGGGCAGGAGGACAATTCTTTTTGGGGTCATCTATAGATAATGTGGTCAGGGAGAGACAGAGTTTTTTGATAAAAGAGGCTTGGTGCCTTTGCTATTGTAACCTCTATCCTATATTATCTTTATAGCCATCATGATAGAAGATCTGTTCCAGGAAGGAGCCACCAATTTGACCTAAAGAGTCAAATTCTTTAGGCAGTTAGTGGGGGAGGTCAAATGTCCCTCAGAGAAAACAATCAAGGTAAAGAGGTATATTTCAGGGTGGCCAAATCTTGATCTCCCACACTTTCAACATGCCTTCCCCCTAAGCTTAATTATTTCTAGTTTTTGAGTTAAAGTGAGAGATGTGTGACATTTCCTTTCACTTCAACACTTAGAGGCCATTGTAGGATTATTAATTGGCCTAATTTCAAAATTGTTGTGTCTCAGGGAACAGCGAGGGCCGAAGAGAGGGAGAGAGGTGGGGGAACAGCCAGTTGGTGGAGCAGTCAGAACACACAATGTTTATCAGTTAAGTTCACCGTCTTATATGGGTGTGGTTTGTGGTGCCTCAAAACAATTAGAATAGTAACATCAATGGTTACAGATGATCATAACAAATATAACAATAATGGAAAAGTTTGCAATAGTGCGAGAATTACCAAAATGTGACACAAAGATAAGAAGTGAGCAAATGCTGTTGGAAAATGGCGCCGATAGACTTGCTCAATGCAGGGTTGCCACAAAACTTCAAGTAAAAAACTCAGTATCTGCAAAGTGCAATAAAATGAGGTGTGCCTGTATTTTCTCTCTGGAGACATCCAGCTGGCCAGCACCCACAGCCCTGGAGAGGCAGTGGTGGCAAACTCCTTACCCTCCCTCCCCATCTCCACCTTCTCTCTCTCCCACCTCTTGGTCCAAGTTTTGATTTTAGAAAGCCCCGGTGTGAGAACTACAAATAAAAACAACATTTTCAGGAATTTGCACACTGCCCTTAGCACTTGGGAACCCTAATTGGGAAAATAAGTCTCAATGGCAGTAAGAGGTTTTTAAGATTTATTCTGCAGCAGGCCAGTGGGCGGTTGTGTGGCCCCATCTCAGTGCTGAGTAAATATAAATATCATTTCAAAGGCTTTGAAATTATCCTGCCTTTGTCTTAGGATAAACTCCATATTCAGCAACATGCTGATGAAATTCATAAGCTGATTTTTAAAATAAACATATTTGTGAGGTTGTAACAGCATCCACAGTCTTGGTCGTAAAGACCAAGGAAGCCATGTAGAGGGTATGTGCATGTGTGTGTGTATTTAAGATTTGGACTTCTTCAAAGAATCTCTCCCAGGGTATTTGTTCAAGTTGGACCTTTGTGCGTCCAGCAGCTGGTGAAGGCTCTCCAGGAGCAGAGACAACTGGGTAAGCACATGGGCTTGGACTTAGAGATCAAATCCAGGCCCAGCCACCTGCCAGCTATGCAACCTCAGACATGTCCCTCAGCTCCCAGAACCTCGCATTGTTCGTTATAAAGGGAAGGTAATGATGTTTAGGTCAGGATTGTGTGAATTAGGGGGATGGTGGTGTGCAAGGGCTCAGCATTGTGGCTGGCACCAACTGAGTGCCCACTGGCTGTTAGGTACTGAGACCGTTACTGCTTCTTTTGTAGAATTTAAAACTGAACTCTGGAGAGAGGAAAGCAAGAGATCCCCAAGCAGTCGAGTTTGCACGAGGGGAACCGGGGCGTGAGGCCCAGGAGTGTTGACCAGATGCCTTGCTTCCCACAGGTCTCCAGGACGGTCTTGCAGGTGGCACCACGTGGCTACGAGGATCCCAGAGTGGTTGCTCCTGGGGCTCTTCCTGTTGCCCCCGAAAGAGCCTGAGCCCCACTCACGACCCGCAGCTGCCCTGCAAGAAGCCCACCATGCTGACAGAGTGAGTAGGGTTCCAATCAGGCTGACTGGTGTCGCTGGCTTCCAAGTGTGCACACCACCCTCCCTGGCTCTTCACACTGTCCTGTCCAGAAAGGCAAAGAGACCTGCCCTGAGAACACAGCAACACCAGATGGCTGCCTCTGCCCGGGAGCAGGGATGGGTTTGCAGCTGTACGAGTGTCTCTGCCACCTCTAACTCTGACCTTTCTCCTCTCCCCACAGAGACATGAAGCTCTGGCACGGCCTAGTGATCGCGGGGGTGTCCCTCATCCTCCAGGCCTGCATCCTTGCAGCCATCACCTGCCTGCTTGGCAGGCACATGGGTAACTGGCTCAGCATTCTCTTCCCTCCCAGTCACCCTCAGGAACCACGCCCCAGCCTGCAGTAGGACGAGCCCCCTGTGGAGCCCCTGAATAGCACCTGAAAACCTACTTGAGGATCCACTGGCCAGATCGCCCCTCACCCTGCCAGCCTCCAACAGTGTAATCCCCACTCTGACCAAGCCTATTTCTGGTTGGGAATGATGGCCGAGTCCTTCCACTCCCCTGACCTTCTGTCTAGAGACGAGCTTCTGCAATGCTCGTGAGGGTGGGCTCACTTAACCTGGGCCTAATTAATTTTCTTCATCACCACTAAAGGACTGAACGTGAAGGGAGTATGGTTAGACTAAGAGATTAGCTTAAATTCTTTGGATTTACAATAGAAAGTAGAGAAGCTCTGTTCTGGGACGGCATTATAATTAGGGAAAATAAAATAACACTGCTTTGGCTGTGCTAAGATAGGAGATTGCGCAGGATGGTGTTTTGAGGCTTTTTCCAGTAAAGGAAGTCTAGGCTTCTCTAGACATTCATTCATTCTTTCATTCTTTCATTCATTCAATACAACAGGGAACAACACAAAAATCTCTGCCCTTACATAACTTACATTTTGTGGGGGCACAGACCACAAACAAGATAAACAAATAAAACCACCTGTGTTAGATTACGGAATGTTTAGGGAGAAAAAAAATGAAGCAAGGCAAGGAGAGATGAACCGGATGGTGGTCAGCATCCCTGAGATGCTGACATTTGAGTATAAACCTGAGGAAGGGACGGAGTGAGCTGCATCTGCAAAGGCCCTGAGGCAGGAGCGTGTGCGGCTCTGAACTGCAGGAGCAAAGAGGGCAGGGCGGCTGGAGCTGAGGAGCAGGGAGGAAAGAAGGAGGAGGGGCAAGGCCATGGAGGGCTTTCCCAGCTGGGACCTTGACTTTTCCTCCAAGGGAGGTAGGGGCATTGCAGGGCTCGAGCAGAGCAGTGCTGAGATTTGAAGAGATCCCTCTGACCGTTTTGCCCTCGTGAGAGCTGTGCTCAGAGATAGAACATGCCTAACCCAGCGAGCTTTCCCTTTTGACCCTTGCCCTGTCCCCTCTAGCCAATGAGAGTGAGCGGACACTGAAAAAGGCCAGGCTCCAGGCCCCCAGGCCCAGCCCTGCCTGCCAGCACCCAGCTGCTGCCAAGGAGATGAAGGGCGCTCGGGCAGAGAGAAGCACCCCCACATCGGAGCCCCATTACAGGCGTGAGTAGTAGGGTGGGAGAGAATCTGTCATAAAGCTTACTCTGCTCTGTCTGGACACTTGGGAAGCCTCCCTGCTGCAGCCCAAGTCTGTCCCTGCCAGCCCCAACCGCTAGCCTGAAGATGCTTCGTGCCCACCTCAGGAAAGTCCTTGCCACCCTACCTTTTTCAGTAAGTTGTTCACCCTATCATGTGGGGCAGATTGCACTGGGTTTGTGTGGGTCTCAGTTCTTTTCGAGGTTTGGTCATGTGTGAATGACTGTAGAGGGGCCTGGGGACTGTTCCTGCTCCTGTCTCAGTAATACTATGGCGCCTTTTCTTCTGCCTGGCCAGTTAGTGGTGGAGCCAATTCAACCACCTGCCTCCAGCCATGGCTACCACCTCACACCATCTGGCCACTGTCCTCGGCTGGTCCAGAAGCCGGCTCAGCCACACTCCCAGAGGAACCTTCTCCACAGTTTTAGATCCTCATGGGTATCTGGGAATTTTAATAAATACGAGTCTTGGTGATGGTTCAAATCTATATGCCCCTCTGGCAAGTGAACCAGCAGGAATATCACCTCTTGTGTTCAGTCTCAGGGCTTGGAGACCCACCAGGTCTCTATTCGCACAGTGGAAACTACTGCTTCTGCAGCAAGACAACTGGCCCTGGACACTCACTCACCAGAGATCGCACTTTTTTCATTGGTTTATCTCTTGACTGATTTGAGTTTGCTCCGTGCTTCTAATTTTATCTTTTCGGTTGGGGAAATCTGGTTGTCAGGCTTTCTGGACACTGAGATAAGGCCTCAGTGCGTGTGGGAACCAGAAGATGCCACTCACATGAATTCAGTGGTTCAGCAGAGCGGGAGAGGCACTGGCCTCATCACGACTCCTGATCCCAAAGCTTCACCGGAGCCTGGCCAGAATTAGAGACTCTTTGGTTGGCAGGAACGTCAGAGAACATCACCCAACCTTCTTGTTTCACGGGGGACAAAACCAGGGCACAAAATGGTTGTGACCTCCTAGAGTTAGTGACAGCGTTAGACTAGTACCTGTGCCTGTGACTTCTGAGATCAGAGCTGTTTACACTGGGCCACATGTTCTCAGCGTGGCCCTGCTTACTCCTCCCAAGCACAGTCAGGCCTCGTGTGTTTGCTATTCGTCTCAGATGGAGCCGGACAAAGCAGCAGTGCTGGGAGACTTGGACGTGGTCCTGGCTATGTTTGGAGGCTCTGCCCCACCACCCTTTCTCTGTTCTATTCCTTCTTCCTCCTTTGGGGGCTCTGTGCCTATCTTCCCCACTCGTCTTTGCATTGCTGGCTCTGCCTCTGTCTTTGTCTCATTCTCCCTTCCATTGTCTCTATCCTTTCCTAACACCCTCTGGTTTCCTTTAGAAGAACAGTTTCTATTTCTCCCCAGATGACAGCGACCCATCCTCAGAAAGCTCCGACAGCTCCGACAGCTCTGACAGCTCGCCTCCCACCTGCCAGGTAATGGATATTCCTAGTGATCCCCACTCCGTGTGCAGCCTGGGGTCCCTGCTGCAAACCCGGAGAACTCAGGCCACCCCAGCTACAGGGACGAGAGCAAGGAAGGAGGGGTTTCTCGAGTCATTACCGCATTCTTAGGTGAGGGCAGCCAGGCTTTCACTCACAGCCCCATAGCAGCATGGATCATCCAAAGTGGGTCAGGGCGGGCTGATGAAACTGCTAACGGGAAACCTCCTTCTCCCCATATCCCTGTCACTGGGCCAAGTCTGCTCCGAGTCCTGACCTCACTTGGATTGAGTCTCCACCTCTTTCTTCCTTAAACCCCTTCATTCTCCGCAGACAGGAGGATGCAGACTTTCATTGGCAATCTTCGTCACTGTCCTGGCCCTGCTCTCAGACACAGCTGCCTGGGACCCAGGTTCCTTCCCATCCAGCCTAGGGCGAGCCTCCTTGAGTGACAGTTCAGTCCTAGGGCCCTACCTCCTCCAAACACTGTAGGAATCTTGACCCACATTTCTCTGTGTTTTTTTTCTTTTACCTAAGGCCACCATGGATGTGAATTATACACAAATGATCTTTTCAGACCCTGGAGGTATAAAAGATGACTCTGCCCTGGACTATGAGAACGTAAAGGAAGCCACAGATTATGTCAACGTCAATCCAAAACTCCACAGCCCCAATTTCTGGACTTTTGTGAACCCTGCTGTCTCTGAGCCGGTGGAATACACTCAAGTGGCCATGTGAAGTCCAAGTTTTTAATGGGGGCAGTTCTCGGTGAATTCTTGCACTGATTTTGCAGCACAATTTCTTTTTCTTTTTCTTGTTTTCAACAAGGCCTCAGGGGGAAAAGGCCTATATCTCAGCAAGAAAGATTCAGATGAGATGTGAGAAAGAAGACCAGGTTAAGTATGAAAATATTGGAGCATATCAGAAGAGAAAGCAGTGAAGTCTCTCTCCATAGAAAATTTTTAAAAGGATTTTAATCAGCTGTAGTAGAGTTCTGTGTGACAATCTTATGATTAAATGACTCTTTGAGCTCTTTAATTATTGACAATAAACAACTTCCTTAAAAGTTTTAAATAAAATGGCAACCACCAATTTCTCTTTTCCTCTGGCCTAACACTGCACGCTGTCCCTTTTTCAGTGCTGTATCTGGCTGCTCTGCCCTCAGAACTTTAAAAAGTCCATCTAGAAAGCTCGCCGTCATTCATCCTTTGTATCTGCTGTTTGCCAGGCACAAATACAGTCCTAGCAAGCATGAACCAGCACCACAATCTGTTATTCCAAGGAAAATCTTCCCATATGCAATCCATACAGTTCAATATCCATTCCTGGTTTGTTTATTTGTTGTTTGTTTGTTTTAACCAATTAGGAATAAAAGGACACTTTCTTAACTTAATTAAAAATAGCTTATCCTAAATCAGCAGATTGCATGCTTTTAACTGTAAGGTCCTAGACGCCGTCCTATTAAATTATGAACAGAGGAAGAACGAACACAAGCCTGCCATTTCCTTTATTATCCAACACTGTTCTAGAAGTTCGCAATGAAACAGTTAACGAAAACAAGGGCTATAACTATTGGAAAGGAGGATAAAATTTGTCATTGTTTGCAGATACCCTGGTCCTAGAAAACCTCAGAGAATTAACTTAAAATGTTTTAAAATTGATAGCGTGCAGTAAGCAGTGGCTAGATACATACACAACATATTTTTGCCAACAGCTAATTAAAACACGAAATGAAAAAAATTTTGCTCACAATAGCTAACCAAACATCTCAAAAAATGGTAACTGTAGGAATACTCCTAGCCAAATTCAGACCCCAGATGAGTGGCATTCAGGTCTTAGAGATGTGCTTCATCTGCTGGCTGTAAATGGCCTTTCTGGCCCTGGTACTGGGGGCAGTGAGCAGCTTTCATCTCCCTGGGTTCCTCTTCTCCAAGATGATCTCAAGAAATCGTTCTGATTTGGGATTCTGGGGCCGGAAAATTTTGTCAGTCTACATGTCCCGCCACCTTTTAGCCACCATTATTGTTCCTCTCCTGCTGTGGTTTGAATGTTTGTGCTCCCCTAAATTCACATGTTGAAATCCTAACCCCCAAGGTGATGGTATTAGGAGGTGGAGCCATGGGGAGATTAGGTCTCGAGGGTGGCGCCCTCCTGAAGGAGATTAGTGCTCTTATGAAAGAGACTGCGCAGGGCTCCCTAGCCCCAGCTATCAGGTGAGGATACAAGAGAAGTCTGCAGCCAGAAAAGAGCATCACCCACCATGCTGGCTCCCTGATTTTGGACTTGTAGCCTCCAAAACTGTGAGAAATATATTTGTGTTGTTTATAAGCCACCAGTCTACGGTATTCTGTTATGGCTACCGGAATGGATTAAGATGTCTCCTTAGAAAGCTTTTCTTAATGGGAAAAAGAGATCCTATTGATTAGAGAGGCAGAATGAGGAATAAACACCAACACCACCACCAACAACAACACTGTCTTTACATTCAGAAATGAAACTGTATTTCTTATTGATCTCTTTTAAAAAGGAAAGAATTCAAGAGTGAGCTGAAGAGGTTCAGACAAGTTACGGTGCACCCAGAGAGCCTAAATCCAAGGCCTAACATACACGAAGGCGCATATTCCCCCTAAAGGCAGGGCTGGAGGATATGGGCCTGCCTCGCCAGGGCATGGCCAGAGCAGGCTGACCTGGATATCCTCAAATAAGAGACAATCAAGACTCTGCCGGGCAGCAAGTCCAAATGAGAACTATTGCCACCGGCTGATATTCAAGGGGTGGGCCCCATCCACACTGAAGACTATGAAGGTAGTTGGGGCTGGGCCCAAGCCCCGCCGGCTTGGAGGACCCCGGCTGCCCAAGGCCAGCTGAAGGAGTGGCAACTGCGCAGGTGCAGGTCATGCAGGTCAAGCTAGCCCAGGACCTGGAACAGAGAAGGTGTAGGGAGAAGCTGGGCTGCAGGAGCAGGATCTTGGGGACACAGGCATCTGCCTAATTCCAAGCCCTAACGTACACAAATGCACATGCTCCCCCTGAAAACACAGAGCTCGCAGTTACTGGACTGCCTTGCCAGGGTGGAGGCAGATGGGCTGGCCAACGCATCGTTTAATAAGAGACACCTGGGACCCCTGAATGCTGGAGAACTCTGGACCATCAGGCAGCAAGTCCAAACGGGGACTGACTATTGCCAATATGCATCCGTCGGGTGATATTCCAGGGTTGGGCACCCTCCACGCTGGAGACTCTGCAGGCACAGGGATGCTGCTGAGACATTTCCTATACCAGGAGAGGGGACAACTGCAGTAGCATAGACAGTGCCTGCTGTCTGCAGAATTCTGGATAGGCCCTGGGGAGTGGGAGGAGGATACATAAAAAGAAGACTTGAGCATCTCAGTGGGTGGGCTCAAGGCATGTATGACCTGGTTGTGGGGACAGGGAAGAGCATGTACAAAACAACATGAGACAAAAGGGAATTAACACAGAACGATGAAACCGGAGCCTATCGACGTTTAGGCAGACTGGGTCCAAGAATGTTAGGATCAGGTGGACTCGGAGAAAATATCCGAGCGAGAGCTGGTTTCTGACCTCAGTTTAGAAAGAAGGGTGGAAAATCAATTGATTGGAGAAGAGACAGGTGGAAAGCGAGCGGGTCTGAGCCGATGCAGGCTCTCAGTCAGTGCTCCTGGGACTGACCTGAACTGAGCTGTGTGGAGAAATGTCTGTGTCTGGGCTCAGAGGCAGCCGTGATGCTCTGCAGCATGAAGCAGATGTCTGAGAGAACAGAGATCTGGATGCCAACAACCGTCTGATTAAGGTCTATAACGAACTCTGCTATGATTGGCTTCAAAGGTATGACATTCTATAACAAATGTATCACAGAGGTTAACATTAGCACCCACCCTAATTGCTTGTAAGGGGAAGGCATTCTTGAAGCATGCTGTTGAAGAACGGAGTTGGAAGTGTGACTCCAAGTGCCTTACAGAGGTTTAATTGACTGCCAATGGTGCAGATGACTTCTCAGATGCCCTGATAACCAAAGAGGGCTGATTTCACGTCCTAAGGAGTTTGGGCCAATAAGCCAATGACTAGGGCCAGCTAACAATTTGAACGAATCCTCAAAGTCATTGCTAGCCATGCTGCTAGAAATAAAATGGCCTTTTGTTTGTGATACCTCTATGAGCTTAGAGGGTTAGCTGCCTAAATCTGTATGAATGGTTGCCTGTATGAGTAATCACCCTTTGAGGAGCACAGTTTCCAGTACAATGAAGTCACTTTTCCCATGTGGTATTTCATGGGAACCTCCAGGGAACGATCATGCTGCCCTCCTCTGGGTTCCTCCATAGGTGAGGACTGGATAAAAATCTCTCCAAAACTATCTTATAAGATACAGAGAAACTGATTTGTTACTGGCAACCAGTAGATGGTTGATTATATGCCAATAATGAACTTGGAATATACAGTAGACCAGAACAAATGTGACCTGTCTTCAACTAATTCTTATTCTAAAGGAGCAAGCGCCCAAATCCCCACTATAGAACTGCAGCAAAATTCCATGAGTGACAATGTTTTATTGGCCAACAAAACCTACTAGAGTGAGGAGGTATTTTATGCCCAATATCAGGACAGATTTCTGGGCCCAGAGGCGCTCTCAAGAGGCCTTCAACCCAAGCCCTCAGCCTCTAAACCAAACACAGTATAATAACTCTATCTTACCTGCTTTTGTTTTTTTGTTTGTTTGGTTGGTTTTTTTTTTTTTTTTTTGAGGTCCCACTAGCTCCCTCAAACACCTTTTCAGGCAGGAATCTCTACACTCAGTCCCTCACCCTGCAGTTGAAACCTCTTGTTCTTCACCCTTTCTTGCCAAATATATCCTCCATGAGCTTAGAGGGAAAGAAGTGCATGTCCAGGTGTCTCAGGAGAACTGGGTCAAATGAGAGGCCAAGATTCTAGAACTTTAGCGAAAGTTAGTATGGCAGTAGAGCTGCGAGGCTGGGTGACTTTCCCAGCCCACCCTGTGGGTCATTACTGCTTCAGACCCACTTTCAGTTCCACACTGCCATCGTGTGGCCCCAGGGCAAATCCCAGGTCACTCATTTCCTTTTCCCTCTTAAGCTGAGTGAAGAAGTGCCAGCAAGGTGGCTCCCCACCCCTCAACCTTCCCTCTGCCCCTGCCCTGCTCAAAGAGATAAAAATTTTATTCTAGCTTGCATATCCCATTATCATCGTGCCTAGGAAACAAAGATGTCCAGATGTCCAGAAATGTCCTGATTATGAAGGAGTTTTATTGGTCAGTTTCAACCACACCTCTGGGTTCCTGACCCAGGAGTCAGCTGCTGCGGCCTGGGCTGAGCCTATAGCTCCTTAATAGATAAAAGACCTATTTACACAAAAAAACACAGAGAGAATCATCTGTAAAATTACTGGTCTATACCAAACAACGTGAAAAGCCATTCTGAGAGGGGCCGGCCCAGTGGCGTAGAAGTTAATTTTGGGCCTTCCGCTTCGGCGGCCCAGGGTTCAGCAGTTCGGATCCTGGATGCGGACCTACTCATCATTCATCAAGCCATGCTGAGGCAGCATCCCACATAGAAGAATTAGAACGACCTACAACTAGGATACACAACTATGTACCGGGGGCTTTGGGGAGAAAAAAAGAAAAAGAGGAAGATTGGCAACAGATGTTGCTAGGAGGGTGGGGGGTGGGCACAAGGGGTGGAGGGATGCACTTATATGGTGACTGATAAACAATAATGTACAATAAAAATTTCACAATAAAAAAAAAGTGTGCCCAATCCAGAGTCATTCCTCAGAGCTTCCCTAGAAGTGGAGGGCAGAGAGTGGATCTGTTCCCTAGGGCTGCTCTCAGGAGCTCCTAATCACATTAGCAATCCCTTACATTAGTGTAGAGTTCATGGGCTGACACACCACCTAGACATCCACAGTTCTGTTAGACCCTCAAACCGAGGGAGCAAGGATTAGCCAGCATTTTACCCACGTTGGTTGTTGGTGGTGGCATGGTGACAGACACAGGACCCAGTTCTCCTGACTTTTCAGCTGATGCTCTTTCCACCGTCAAGGCCGTCTCTCAGATTAGAACCGAATTAGGGTGGGGAAGCTACCCCATGATATAAATCCCCCTGGAGATAATGAGGAGCAGGACAAAGCCACGGATTCTACCTGCCCTGCTGTCTCTCCCGGCATCAGCATCACAGAATTGAGGGCAAAAGTGGACAGTAGGGCCATGGCGGGACCCACAGTCACCAGAATTGAGTCAAAGGATATAAGTGTCACTGTCATGAAAATCCAATAATTCTTCTAGAGCCTGTGAGTTAGAACTCCCTTTGTGTTTCTCTGCTGTCATGCCATTTCCAGTCTTGCAAAGTCATGAAAGGCTAGAGCTGGGAAGAGATCATCTCTGTTCTACAGGGGAGGAGACTGAGGCCAAGAGAGGGAGGTGACTTGCCCTGGGTTATACAGATGCCTGAAGGCAGAGCTGAGGCTCACATCCCGGGCTCCTGACGTGATCACAGCATGCATAGCATTTGTGTGGAAGCTCGAAAGAGACTCAAGGAAATCCAAATGACCACATCACACTTTCTCAAAGGGTGACTCCTCCACGTAGCCCCAGAGGAAGGAGCAGTCTGGATCCCTTGCAGGGAAGAGGGAGAGCAGACAGTCTCTGCTGCCCCTGAGGCTTCCTCCCTCTCTTAACTCTATTGCAACCATTTTCACCTCCTCCCTTCCTCCCCTCTTCTCACACTCACCCCCATGGGTCACATCCCTGAGAATATGCAACACTTTGCCCCATCACCCACCCCATAAAGGAGGGTGGTATGGGAAGAGGAGGAACTAGCATTTGCAGGGTTTTTACCAGTTCCAGTGCCATACCAAACCCTGCATCTCCCTTCAGTAGACAGGCGGGCATAGCAGGTGAAGCCTCCACACACATTCACTTTTCTTCATTAAACAATCCTCCCTCTACAAAAAAAAAAAAAAAAAAAAAATCCAGGATCCAGACAGGGTCCTGCTCATAGTTTCACTTCTCCCCTCTCGTGGTTGGGCTGCGGTGTGCTAGTTAGGTCAGGATGGGGACAAATAGCCAAGATGGAGACCAGTCTCTGAGTTCCTGCCGCGTGTGGACCCCCGTCAGGGCCGTCCTAGGCCTGTCGCAGATGTGGGGCACCACATCTACCACATGGATGTGTTCCCAGACAGTGTGAACATGGTAGGATCAGGCAAGCAGACGGTTTGATTCTCCCTGACTTCCAGCATTTGAGACTGGGAGCGAATGAGGGCAGCTGTGACACCAAGGGTAGGGGCAGCCATTCTGACCTCCTCACCCTGCCTCAAACCCGGCTCCCCTTACTCCAGCCCAGAGCCTCCCAGCGTTCACACCCAGTGCTGAGATGAGCAGAGACCCTCCGCTAGCCCCGCGGGCTGCACCAGCCTCAGGGAGTGTGCCCTAACAGATGCCGGTCTCAGTGGTGGCTTCCCTGTCCACCTGCTCTGACCCCTTCAGTGACTCTTCCGGCCCAGGCCTTCCACGGAGTCTGGGGCTGAGGCTGAGGGTGGGCGGGCCGCCGGAGCGGGTCAGCAGCGTGGTGCGGCGACTCGAGAGGCTGCCGTTGGAGAGCTGCCTGCGCATCCGGGGCTGGGGGCCCCCACGGCAGGCTAGACGACGCAGCGGGCGTGGCCACAGGTGGCTGTTGAAGCCCACGTAGATCCAGGGGTTGCAGCAGCTGCTGAGGTTGCCCAAAAGCATGGTGATGGTGAAAGCCACACTGGTTGAATCTGCCGAGAAAGAAGCACAGGAAGCCTTAGAATTACAGCGCTCAAAGGGACCTGGGAGAGAGGCCAGGTCCCCACTGAAGAGCGGAGGAAACTAGTCCCAGCAGGAGAAGGGACTCTCTCGGGGGTTCTGTAATTAGAGAGGAGCACAGCTGGGCCTGGAACCAGGGACTCCTGACTCCAGAGTCTCACCTCACTGATTTTCTGTTTTGTTTTGTTTTGTAACTACAAGGTGAGGGTAGGAGCTGAGGTTTGCTCCAAGTTGACTTCAGAGCTGTAAACATAGTCACGGACAGGACCAGCCCAAATAGAAGACACTGTCTTTGTTTCAAAACCTAGACTTTGAATCCCCTAATGGATGTAGACCTAGGATAAGGCAACTTCTATAAAACATGCAAGGAAAATAACCATGATTCCAGGCCAAGTTCAGGCACCCTCATCCCCATTTATGTCATAGATACAGGTACACATTGCCTTCTAGATTCTGTCCTCCTTGACCCCCCTGGGGCAGTCCCACTCATCCTGTCATTCAGTCATTGATTATGTGAGCATCGACTGTGTCAGGCAGTGCTGAGGACCTGGGAGGGTGATCACTGGGGCCTGACTGCCCTGCAGGTCCCACGGCGTCATCTCCAACTGTAGTGGATGGGCAGATTCTAGGTACAGGGCATGCAAGCATCCTGTTCCAGTCCAGGACTTGTTCTGTGTCCTCATAGACTATACCCAGGGAATGTACCATCCTGCAGGGAAACATTAATTTCTCTCTTGGGCAGTCAAAATGTGAGAGTGCAAAGACTCTGATAAGATTCCTTTCACGCACAATGTTCTTTCTGAAGACTAAATGAAACTCCTCATCAAGAGGAAAGCTTCCGGGATAGGCTGACCTCCTGCTAGATGCACCATGGCTACAGCTGTGGCATGGGTTGCACACTGAGTTACCTTGCTCTTCAGCGGAGGTCGTAGAATCATTGAATTCAATGTCTAAGCTGGAAGGAACCTTGGCGGTTATAGCATAGACTTGAACCTAGGTCTTCCCACTCTAAGGCAGCAATCCTCCTGCACCCCAGTTTCAACCAGCAAACTCGAAGACAAAGCTCAAGTGCCTACCCCGTAAAGCACTATGAAAGCCTCAGATACACTGGTCCCTGATGCGCACCTCCCATGGGCGTGCTCTCAAGTGTGGCCACTCATAGCCCAAGAGAATGGAAGACACAGGGCGAGAATGTTTGAGAGAAGGCATGAATCATAGGGTTGGGAAGCTGAAGGCATCTGGGCCTAGATAGACAGGTCTGGGACATGGAAGTGAGGGCGAGGAGGGAGCGCCTGTAAGCAGAGGAGAGGCCAGCCTCAACAACAAACACAGCCTCCTTCGGTCTTCCCTAAGTTCTGGCCTGCTCCCCAGTTAACATACTAGTGAGGGGCTGCAGAAGACTTGGGAAGTTGCTTCAGCTAAGAGGTGGTGTTCATCCCGTCTGCTTCATCAATATATATTTAGTGCCTAAATTAGGCCAGGGACTGAGGAGTTCCACAAGCTCCTTCACTTGGGAAGCATCTGTTTGGTTTGGCCCTGTCTGAGCCGGGCCCAGTGCAGGGCTGGAGATGTGCCTTGAGCACTGGAGTCTGCAGAGGCTCCAGCTCTCAGCCCTTTGAGGATGGATCCATGGCGCCCAGTCACAGGCAGCTGCTGTGTCCTGGCAGAAACTCAGCTGGCAGTTGGGGGCAGGGGCAAGGGCATGGAGACAGACAGGCTCTGACCAAAGACTCAGGGCCAGGAGGCCAGGAGGCTGGTGTGCTGTGGAGGGGAACCGGATGTACTGGAGAGTAAGTTTAAAGTAATGAATCTCAGCCCAACTAAAAGGGCCCCAAAGGGCTTCCATTTCTTGGAGGTAGCACATTTTCTGTAAGATAACACCTAGTTCCTGCGCTCCTTGCTCAGAGAGGCCCTTGGTAAGTGATAAAACCCTCTTTACAGGTGAGGGATATGGTACCGAGGGACAGGCTCAGGATGATGGTTCACACAGCAGGAAAGCAGGAAAACCCGCACTGGCTGAGTGGCAGGATCCCCATTTTCTCATAGGTTCCTCGATAAAGGGGTGAATGACCATCTCACTGCCAGTGGCATTGGCTAAGATGTGATTGTTGGGAGTAAAGCCATGCCATGGATAAAGTTTGGCCCATAAAGACCTTGGTTCAAGTCCTGGCTCCATCTCTCACAAGCAGTGGCACTTTGGACCAGTTATTTCACCTCTCTGAGCCTCAGGTTACTCAGATGTAAAGTAAGAAGGCCACCTCTACATAGCACAAGGACTGAAAGTGCTTGGCACTAGGAAGCCCTCCTTCCTCCTATTCTGTGATTGACTAGAGCAGGGAGGCCCCTATAGTTGGTTAGAATTAATATGCTCATTTCTTAAAGGGTAACTTGCAAATAGCCTCTTGTCCAGACTGATGTCCAAAGGGTGGTTAAGAAGGGACACGATGAGACTGTAATAGTTTGGTATTGTCTTCACACTTCTCTTGCAGGATGTGTTAAATTCCAACAGCCTTCTCCTTATTTCATCTCTCCAGAAAAGCAAAGCCTTTGGCTTGAGCGTGTCCAGGGATGAGCAAAGTGAGATTAGAAACAAAAGCACAGGGAAGGGGGACCACTCCCTAAGAGCTGGTAGGAATTGGTGGTCTAGGTCTGCTGGCCAGTGAACTCTCAGGAAGCTTCCAGAGGAACCTGTGCACAGGGCTTCCCTAGGGCAGTTACATGCTGCACCCATTATACATCCTGAGCTGTGCACACGCACGATGCACTGCAGAGCACACAGTCGCCCTATTCACAGACACATAGACAGGCCAACAGGCACTTGTCCTCACGCCACACTCTTCTTAGGGGAGCAAGGACAGATGTCTTTGAACACCACCCTCCAACATTTAGGCTGCCCAGACAGCCCCACCTTCCCGAGAACAAGCTCACCCCTAGACGGCCAGGCCATCTGGCAGTGTCTAAAACGAGGAGGTTGCCATCTACCTCACCCCAGAAAAATGACCAGAACAAGGCCTCCCATATGCCAACTGGAGCACAGTCCTCTTGGAGGGTCCCATTTTGTTTTTCACAAAGGAGGAAGGCCCCTCTCCTCATCACTTTCAGAGCCAGGGTTATGGGCTGGGCAAGCGGTTGAGGAAAAAGACAAGGAGCCAACAGGCTTGGGTTCTACCCTTCACCTTGCCACTTCTGAGCTGTGTGGTCTTGGGCAGGTCATGTTTCCTCTCTGAGCCTCTGCCTCCTCATGAGTAAAATGAAGGAGGCGAACTAGAAATTTCAGGGCTGTCATGTGCCAGTGCTAATTAATTGGAAGTAGCTGTTGAGAAGGAGTTCAAAGTTACGTCCAGGTGCAGGAGGGAAGTGTGCTGAGAGACACAGTACATGAGCTGCCATCCGGACCAGATCATTCGAAAATCCCTTTCAACTCTATCAGTCAATGATTCTAATGCTCATCTGGCAGACTGGCAGTTCGTTGGCCAAATGTACCAGTGGTCATATTTCATTAGGGGCGCATAGTGTTTTTAAATGTTTGAATTATTTACCAAAAATTTAAAATACGGAAATGTCACATAAAAGATACTCCCATGGCAGCAGTAGGCTGGATAGGAGTTGCAGCTCCCCTTTTTCCATGGGACAGGTACCATCTTTCTTAATTACTTTACTCATTTGTTACCTCTTGGGCCCTGGGAGGCACTGTAACCCCTGTCCTCACCCACATATTCTCCCTTCCACACAGACCACACACTTGCCTTCATCAGGGGCATTCTCGTCCCACACAGACCACATCTGGACGCTGAAGAATGGTGCCCAGCAGGCGATGTAGGCCAGCACAATGATGAAGGTCATCTTCACGGTTCGGATCTTGGCTCTCGAGATGGTGCTGATGCTGCTGACCCGGGATGGCAGCCCCCGCATGGCCGCAGCTGGGGCAGAAGGTGAAGGCCTGTCCCAAGTCCTGCAGCCCCCTTCTTCTACCCTCCAGGCCTGCGTCTTGACTTTTAGGTTCTTACAGATCTCGTGGCAGATGAGGCTGTAGCAGGTGGTGAGCATGGCCACAGGCAGGATGAAGATGGCCAGGGTGGTCCAGGTGATGTAGGCCCGTGGCCCCCAAGGGAAGCGGAAGTCTGCCCAGCAGTCCAGCACCCCTGAGCCCTGGATTACCTCCCGCAAAGAAAATATGAAGATTTGCGGGAGGCTGAGGATGGCGGCTAGCAGCCAAGGAGCAGCGATGAGTGGGTAGGCGGACTGGCTGGGCTGCTGGAGGCTGCGCAGTGGGTGACAAACAGCCAGGTAGCGGTCCAGCGTCATGGCCAGCAGCATGTAGGTGGAGGCAAACATGCTAAGCACCTGCAGGTACTTGATGGCCCGGCAGAGGAGGTCGGGGCCCTGGAAGCGGTAGGTGATGTCCCATAGCAGCTGGGGCAGCACCTGGAAGAGTGCCACCCCCAGGTCAGTGAGGGCCAGGTGCAGCACAAACAGGTGCATGCGGGAGAGCTTGCGGCCCAGCCACCCCAGCATCAGCAGCACAGTCAGGTTGCCCCCTGTCGCCAGCACCAGGACAGTGGCCAGGACTCCGATCTCCACCTTGGCCAGCTCTTCATCCCGGCCCAGCCAGGGTGTGGTGGCATTGGGGGTAGAGAGGGTGCCGCCAGGGGTGGGGTTGGCAGCTGAAGGAGTCTCGGAATCCATGGTGGAAGTTTGCTGGAAGGGAAGAAGAAGAGGAAGAAGGATGGATGGAGAGTGTGGGTGCAAGTGGAGAGGTCTGATGGACGAAATGCAGTGGGGAGGGAAAGGTTTAAGATGGAGAGAAAGGAGAAGGCCGGGGACGACAGGGAGAAGGCTGCAAACAGGTGGAAACAGTTAAGAGGACAGGGATAGAGAGGAGGAGGGAAAGTGAGATAAGGAAGAAGATGCTGATCCCAGAGAAGGGAGGGGAAACCTAGGAACGAAGAGAAGGTAAGATCAGGGAGACAGAGTCAGGAAGGGAGAATGGATGACGCTGTGCAGAGTGAGGCTTCTGGAAGGGAAAGAAGGCTGGGGGAGCTGCCACCACTCCCAAATCCACCCCAAATTCACTTTCTCCAAACTTTTCTAGAAGCAGAAAGCGGGTGTCCCTAAGCCTGCTTGGAGGCGCGGTCCGGGCCGTCGGCGTCGCCCGCCGGCTGGAAGCCCCAGCCAAGCCCGCGCGCCCAGGCCGCGAGCGGCGACCAGCGGCAGCCGGAGCGCGGCGGGCGGCTCGGCCGGGCGGGTTTTATGGGCTCGCAGCCCGAGCCCAGCGGCCCCTCGGCGCCGGTTGGCTCCTGCAGAGGAGGGCGGAGTGAGACTCAGACACCCAGCCGGCAGGAGGGCCACGAGGCTGGCTGGGGACGACCGGGAGGTCAGGGGAGGGAAAGGAGGAGCGACAGAGGGGGCGCTGGACCTGGACAGGAGCGAGAGAAGCGGACGGCGCAGAAGCGCTCGCCAGCCCGCCAGCCCGCCAAACCGACCAACACGCAGACACAAGCTCATCTACGCTCGCACCCTGGAACCGTCGGACTGTCACCCAAGACAGGTGCACACCTGGCGGTTGGGGGGGGTGACTCCGCCACGCGGGGACCCTGCGGCTGGCAGCGTCGTAGGGCGCACTCCCGCCACCCGGGCTCCCGGCTAGCCCGCAAAGTGTCCAACATCTGCAGGGATGGCCAAGTGGGCGAGGCAGCGTCCCAGGCAGAGCCCTCAGCCCTTGGGAGCGACGTCTGACCGCAGACACTGGTGGGAGACTTGGAGCCACAAGGAGAGGAAGAAAAAGTGAGGACAGGGTGTGTGTTGAGAGGGAATGGCGATGGTAGGACAGAGGTGGGGGTGGAAGGAGCTAGACCCAGAAGTCCCGGTGCGCTTGATGCGGGAGGCAGACAGGAGAAATTCCGGGTATTTGCGTCCGTAGGGGAGATCTTGCCGGCAGCCTCCCCGGAGTCTTTTCACACACAGTATCCTAAACGCAGTTAACCGCCTGTGAGGTAGAAAACTGAGGCCCAGAGAAGTTAGCGACTTGCTCTAGAAGATCACAGAACTAGGGAGCAGTGGAGGCAGGACTAGACCCGGCGCTGTGTGTTTCCTAGAGCAGACCTGACTAACACCCAGTAGGTGAGAGGCGCTGGTGCTGAGGGTACAAATAGAAATACAGCATCCCCGCCCAGAGGAAGCTTACAGCTCAGCAGAGAAGGTAGTGTGCGGTACCGGTTGTGGAATCCACTTTCTTGTTAGTACGTATACAAGGTGGATATTGGGACCCTCTCCAGAACAGATTAGAAGTTCATTAGGAGTGACAACAGCATGGTCCATGCCCCTCTGAAAGGGCAGCGTCCGTCATTGTAGAGAAGTCCTCTTGTCTTGCCTTTTAATCACACCAGACCCCCCTTTACAGTGTCACCCACCTCCCCACGCATCCAATTAGCATCACTTCTTGAAGAGTCTGCCTCCTAAACTGCCTGCAAATTCATCTCCACTTCAGCCCCTCCCACAGTTCACTCACTCACTAGTTCTCACCTAATACTGTAGCATCCTCCTTTTGTGCTCTGCAGCCCAGGCTCCACCTTCTCAAAGATTTTACTCTTCGTGAATGATTATTTTAAGTCTCTCTACTAGATCATTTCCATCTGCAGGCAAACAAACTCTAGTGTTGTCCATTAAAAAAAATTATAACCTTCCTCAGACATTATCCCCCCACCTCCAGCTGCTGCGATCTCTTCCCCTTCACAGCAAAACTTTGCAGAAGGGCTATCTATGCTTCTTTCCATTTTCTTGTTCCCATTCATTTCTTTATGTATTCATTGAAATTATACATATTTAAATATATGTCTTTAAAATATTATGTATTATGTAAATGATATCATACTATATATACCATTCTGGAACTTGCTTTTTACATTCTACTTTACTTTTGAGATCTGTCCGTGAGGATACATCAGATAGATCTAGCTCATTCATTTTAACTACTGCATAGTATTCAAGCATGTGAATATAACATATTTTATTTATCCAGAGCCCTACTTTTATAATTTAGGTTATTTCCAGCTCTTTTTTTTTTGCTATTTATTTTTTTAAGTGCTACAATGAATATTCCTATATATATCACCTTGTGTTCATGTGTGATAATTTCTCTCAGGTGTGCATCCAGAAATATATGCTGGGTATTAATATTGTTGGGTCATACAATGTATGAATTTTAAATTAGATAGAACCATATCCTAAATTTTATCTCTAAAATCTATTCCTCTTTTTCTTATTTTCAAAATGTTTGTCTAGTTCTACAAAAAATTCTGTTGAGATTTTGGTTGGAAGTATTGAATTTAGAGGATAATTTGGGGGAGAACTGACATATTTATGATTTTATTCAGATCTATTCTTATGTCCTTGAATAATGTTTTATAATTTTCTTCATAAATATCTTCTCGTCTTTTTTTATTGTGAAATTTTTGTTATACATTATTCTTTGTTAGCCACCATGTAAATACATCCCTTCACCCCTGTGCCCACCCCCGACTCCCCTTTCCCCTGGTAACCACCAAACAGTTCTCTCTGTCCATGTGTTAGTTTATCTTCCACTTATGAGTGAAATCATGTGGTGTTTGTCTTTCTCTGGCTTATTTCACTTAACAGAATACCTTCCAGGTCCATCCATGTTGTTGCAAATGGGGCGATTTTGTCTTTTTTTATGGCTGAGTGGTATTCCATTGTGTATATATATACCACATCTTCTTTATCCACTCATCAGTCGAAGGACACGGGTTGCTTCCATGCCTTGGCTATAGTGAATAATGCTGCAATGAACATAGGGGTGTATAAACCTCTTTGGATTGTTGATTTCAGGTTCGTAGGGTAGATACCCAGTAATGGGATAGCTGGATCATAATGTATTTCTATTTTTAATTTTTTGAGGAATCTCCATACTGTTTTCCATAGAAGCTGCACTAGTTTGCATTCCCACCAGCAGTGAATTAGGGTTCCCATTTCTCCACAGCCTCTCCAGCTTTGTTGTTTTTTGTCTTGGTGATTATAGCCATTCTAACAAGTATAAGGTGATATCTTAGTGTAGTTTTGATTTGCATTTCCCTGATGATTAGTGATGTTGAACATCTTTTCATGTGCCTATTGGCCATCTGTATATCTTCTTTGGAGA